GGCTGCCTGGATTCCTCAGAGCTAGCAGGAGGAAAGACTAAGTCTGCTGGTTCACAAAGACTATGGCCACCCTTTCTCTAGGTGCTTAGGCCCAGGGATATCAGCGTTCTGTCCCTGAGCCCCTTAACTGGAGTTGTTGGAGTTCCTGTAGGGAGACCTTGCCCAGTGAGGAGGGGTGGGTCAATGTCTGGTTTGAAGATGCCATCTGGCCACAGTCTGCATCAGCCAGTGTGCTGGGTTCTGGGGGATACCTCTTGGGACACAGATGTCCAGCCTCCCTGGCTCCAGCAGGGGAAAAGTGTGGCCTGGAGCTATAGTGATGACTGCTGCCCTTCCCCACTGAGACTTAGTGTGTTAGGTAGCTAGCAGCTGCAACATTGGCTCCCACAGAAACTCAGATGGCTTAGACAGCAAGCAACCGCAGTAGTGATGATGCTGCTCCTCACCCCAGAAACTTGGCAGAAATCTTAGGCAGATTCCAGCCCAGTGTCTGTTGAGAATCTGCGTGGCTCCGTGGTTGGGACCCTAGGCCCTGGTGACATGGGTTCATGAGTGGGATCTTCAAATCTGTGGGTTGCACAGTTCCTTGGAAAAAGCTAGGTTTCTCAGGCTGGGTAGCACACTCACTTCCTACCTCCCTTGTCTGGGGGTTGGAGATCCCTTGCCCTGTGTGGCTCTCAGGTAGGCAGCTGTACCACACTGCTCTTTCTTCTCTGTGGGTCATGCCCACCACATAGTCAGTCCTGATGACAGAACCTGGATACCTCAGTTACCAGTGCAGGATTTGTGTGCTCTTTTGCTTCTTTTTGATGGGGACTTCTGATAACCACTGCTTCTAGTTGGCCATCTTGGCCCTGCCCTGCACCCCCAAAATAAATTTCTGTACTTTTTTAATCTTAGAGAACTATGTAGGGATTTTTTTAAACATTTCATTAAAAATCATTTTAACTAGAAAACATTCAGTTTGTGGTAGGAATGGCAAGTTTCATCTTATTGAAAGGACTTTCTTTTCCTTCGTAATTTGGTCATCATAAGCACGACAGCACTAAACAAAACAAAAGTAAATGAATAACAATTTTTAACTTTCTATCCACTACTGTTGAAAACACTTGTGTTTAAGTATCTTTATGCTAACTTCCCTCTTCCCTGCTTCTCTTCCTAAGATAGTGTCACATGTATGAGGAAAAGGGTCTCACATGACCATGCGTCATGGGACAAATGGAACTCATTGGTGTCATGTTGTTATTGGGTAGATACTTGCTATTATTGAGTTGCAGCAATCCTGGCCCAGTGCTCCCTCATCTGGCCGGAGTAACCTATAGCCCAGTTGTCCAACCTGCAGCCTCAGGATTGCTTTGAATATGGCCCAACATAAATGTATAAACTTTCTGAAAACATAGTGAGAGTGTGTGTGTATGTGTGTGTGTGTGTGTGTGTGTGTGTGTGTGTGTTTTCCTAGTTTATCCGCTATTTGGTAGTGTATTTTATGTGTGGCCCAAGACAGTTTTTTTTCTTCCAGTGAAACTTATTAGCAGGGGTGTCCAAACTTTTGGCCCAGTGAAGCCAAAAGACTGGACACCCCTGCTAAATAGATTGTCCTCTCTCACGCTTTCTGACTAACTCGGCCTCATCTTGTCTCTAGATGGCAGAGAAAACCTACTGAATTTTGGCCATACCCTCTATCTGCGTCTTGGCCTAGAAAGCCAACACTATAACCTCTGCTGCGGGATCACCAAATCTCTTTTATCAGAGACATGTGCTAGGTCTCAGCTCAGCTTCCTTTCTCTCCACACTTTGAGAGCCTGTAGTGTTTTCTCAGACGCATCTATGAGTGAGAAGAGCAGAGGGAAATGCTGGGTTTAAACTGAGGCCCTGTCCCTCAGCCCATCTACTTAATGGGCTCTCTTCCACACCCAGTAGAAAACTCAACATTTCCATAGGGACAACCTGAAAGATGGTTCCTCCTATATTTGTATTGGGGACAGGATATCTGCTTGCCGTTCACCAGTGAGTTCTCCTCCCTTCTGGGATTTAATGTCCTAGAGAGGAGCACCACTCCCTGACCCCTGACTCAGTCTCACTCACCTCTCTTTGTCTACCTCTGATTCCAACTTCATAGATGTCAGGAGTGTCTTTAGCTTATTATGTAAAAATTTTGGAATTTGACCATCCCAGGCACATCACTGTAGTACATTAAACGAGAGGTGAAGGCTTTAGCAAACGCTTTATCCTCAAATTTGTTTTGCCATTTTCTACACTGTACTAAAAAACATCATGTCTCGGTCTGTAAAGATGGTTGTGAGGTCAAGACTTTTGTAAATAAGTTGCATTACTTAATATTTGCAAAGTGATTGCCCTCATTACAACTTTTTACATGTAATCACTAAGAAATCTGAAGCCTCTTTTTGCTTCTTTCATCCTTCTGTTCTTTTTATTTTAATCCCTTTTTCTTATTTCTTTTAATCTCAGTTTTCTTTTAAAAATCTCAAATTTGGTGAGTACTCTGGTATATGACACTGTCCCTGAAGTATGCTACTTATAAAGAACCGTAACAGCTAAGGCCATTCTCCTTAATACCAATCTTCTGCACCTGCACTTTGCCACCAGAGCCCCATCGTAACACGAAGTTGCTATGTGATTTGCCTATCACTAGTGCGTGAACAGCGTGGTACTGCAGGTTTCTAATGTTGAACACATCACATTTTGCCCCTTCCTCATGTAATGTCTCCAATTTTTCCATATTTGTTGTTAGTCTTGTCTTCCTAATTCATAATAACCTTGTGTGATTTTATGTGCCTGTCAGATTGCCGTTTATAATGTGATGTGTACAAAATGTTAACAAATATCTGTTATTGCAATGGTCAGTGAGGAATATTGTTCAATTAAACATACCTGAATTATAACTCCCAATCATCTTTCATCCCTGGGAGATGGGGAGAGAACCAACAGTATTTTCTGAGAATGGTGACCATTCAGCTTGAAGCTCTTCTGAGTAAGATAAAAGATGTGAGAACTAGATTGAGTAGAACTATGCTTAAAAGCTTTCTCTTTTAAATATGCTTGTGGCATGCAACAACCACAATCTATTATTGTGGAAAAATTTTGCAAGTACACACAGGAAATAAACTGTTGTATGTAACATAACCATAGGTAAATGCTGTGTTTAACAGCTAAAAATGCAGTTACTTTCTTGAGTTTTGTGACTAATTGCTTCTGAAGCGTGCACTTTGGTAACAAGTACCAAATCTTAAGTTTGTCCTTAATGAAACATTCAATGAAAATAAAGAGAATATCAAGAGGTTATCTAGTAATTCTTGTTTCATATATTTAACTTCATTCTCTCTTAAATTGAAGTTATTTTCACTTAGTGAATTTGTTTTACATGGGTAGTGTGCTTAAAATAGGACCACATTAATGAGTCTTTGTAGACATCTTACGTCAATTTTCTCCTCTTATCCCCAAATTGCACAAGTAAACTTACAGATCCACAGACATTTGTTTTATTAAGTATTCACCATTAGTGTGCTGAGTTGGTATTTTACTAGGATTCATCATACTGCCTTCTTTTCCTATTTTAAAATGACTGATCAGGATTAGGGGTTGAGTCTTTGGTCAAGAAATATAGTGAAGTTAACAAATTATGTAGTACTCATCTCCAAGTCACACATGACCTGCATTTGGCTACAGATATTATCTCGCTGTCAGCATTTGTCATAGGTCTTTGAGAGGATATGATACAATGAACATGTGTGTTCTTATCAGAAAAGACTTCTAAATTTAATAGTAAAAAAGAAATTAGGAAGCATGACCATTGTTCAGGCTTTATTATTAATTCAAAACGTAATTTTTAAATTGATGAATTTGGTCTATTTGATGGCACAATAGCCTTCTACCCCCAAAAGTATTCTTGGTTGTATTCTTAGAAGCCAATGTGTTTTTACCCATAACTTTATTATACTACTTTCTAAAAATTCAAGATGCTTTTTGAATTTAATTTTTGTCAATTTTTTAAACTAGAGCTGAATTATAAATGAACCCACTTTACTAAGAACCACAAAGAGTGAGGCTGTTGGTTTGTGAAGTTTGATACCTTATTAAAATTCTAGACCAAACTCAATTGCTGCTATCTCATTGACATCATTGGGCAGACATTTAAAGATTTTTATACATTTTAATTCAGCTGGTAACTTGATTTAAAACAACATTGATTTTTAAAGAAATTCATTGTTGGTCATGTATATCATGCTAAATATCAAAATGAATTTGTAAGTATTTGAGGCTGTCTGTCTAACAGGGTATTCAATTCTTAGAGAGGGTTTTCTTTCCCCATGCTAATTTTCATCAATTTTCTATTGCTTTCATTTCCCCTTGAGCTTTAGCTCTTTGATGAATGATTCATTCTTTTCAGCATATACCATGATCATTAAACAATTGCACCTTTATCAAGCAGAGCAGCAAAAGACTCCATAGATAATAATGAGGTTGGAAATTCTCCTGTACAACCTGTTGGCTCATCTTGGAAGAAGAATGTCATGCCAAATTATTTTTTATGTGTTCAGTAATAATGTTCTAACAAGGATGGATGGAGAGTTGAGCATAAAGGGCAATGCTAATGGAAAGAACTGTAGTAATATTCACCTTGCCAAAACATGGTAATGTCTTGACAAGATGCTTCATGCTCTTGCTGCTAAATTAGGTTTCATACCAAGTTAGCAGCCCCTATAGCTATCTGCTGTCTTACAGAATGAACTAGAAGGGAAATAATCTACCTTTCATGTTTTAGAAATCTTTCATATGACCATATGATAATTGCTTTGAAAATATCTTTTAAACCCACAGTTTATGGCGAATGAACTCTGTGGAATGGTCCTGAAAGTATGAATGGAGTAGGCAGGAAGAAAGCTTATTTGAATGTAGTTGCAGTCTCTTCCTACCTTTAATTTTTAGCTTTATACTGAACACTAATATGACTGAAATCTTCCCTTTTGATGTTTCCTAAGCACAGGATTTCAGAGTGTGATCTCAGATCTTTAGTGTGAAGATACATCTACATTAAACCAGAAATCACTGCAAGTGACATCTGGACAAGAACATTTGGAAAATTTTAAAACTGTGAATGTCGATCATGGAAATTAAAGAGGAAGGGGCATCAGAAGAAGGGCAGCACTTTCTTCCTACAGCTCAGGCCGATGATTCCGGGGACTCTCAGTTCACAAGTAAGTATGTGTATCCCGCCCTGTGTTTGCATCTAAAGATGCAAATTGGGTTGAAACATACATATACATATATGGATTCAAAGATTCATAGGAACTTCAGTTCTAACAAATGGCATGAAATTACCTAAATATTTTTTTCTTTGCACTATTTACCTTGGTGGCGTGAGTATATGATATGCCTTTCATCTTTTTTTCTTGGGTAAGATAGATGAGTCAATGAAATAGTTAAATATCAAGTAACAAGATCAAAGCTCTTGAATATATATTAAGATCCTAATAAATACTTTTTGAGGACACTTTCTAGACACTAATACTTTCTAAGAACACGTTCTATTGATATTTATGTAATCTTATATGTGATTATTTTTTGTACTGTAGAAATTCTCTCTTTAAACCCAAAAGGTATTTAAGTTGAAATCATTAGGAAAAAATTATTATACTAGAAAGTTAGATTGTCACTGCCATACCAGAGAGCACTAAGTCAAAAATGTGGAGCCCATGAAGATTTGGCCAAGTTTGCAGGAGAACTTTAAATTGGTTTTGTATTACTTGAGTAATTAAAATCATTGGAAGAATTGTATGTTTTCTTTTATATTTAAAATTCTAGGGTTTGCGGTTTATTGTTTAGCATGAATTATGCCTTTTTCTTTTCTTTTCATAAGATTCCTGTAGTCCAATTATTTAATACTGGCAAATATATACCTAACCTTCTCTTTTCATTTACATTATAAAGCTAATCTTTAGAAAATTGTATTGGTTGGATGCTTTTTTGAGAAATGTGGTTGTCAATGTTTAAAGCAGAGTTAATTGTTAATGACCTTTTAAAAAAAACCCAGACGTTTGAAGTTCACAAAACCCTACCTAATGATTGTCACTTTAACTTCTCTTGGAATATCTAAAATTGTTAACCAAAGCAATTGTTAAATGTCAGCAGGAGAAAAAATATACAGTTACTTTGCAAAACAAACAAAATAAATGTTAACTCTGTGAATAAAAAGCAGATCATTTTTATACAAAAAGGTGATTCTAAAAAATATATTAGTGACCAAATGCCAGTAAATTTAAATAGTATTGATGAATGCACCAGCAAAAATAAGCAAGGAAAGGATTTGTATAATATTCTTTATTGCCGAATAGTTTACTTTTCCCTACATGTTAGTTTTGCCTCTTTGGCCACCCTTAGGTTGTAACAAATGGTGTCCCATTCATACAGCCAGTCATTCACTGTTGTTTAGGAAGCTCCTACACTGTGTGTGGTCTTCAGACATTACCCATCACAACATCACTTCCTGCAACCTGATCATTCTACCTTCTAGCCATTAGATGGTTTCACTTCTATACCTTTGTTCTCAGACTCACTTTTCCTCCTACTTCATCTTAAGTTATTTAGCCATATTATTGTATTTTTTAAATCTTGCTGGCAAAAGGAACAGAAACATTTTATAAAATGTTGGTTTGAGCTATTAATGAATTAGCAGAATAACCAGCACTACAATGTCTATCATAACCTAGCTGAAGTTATCTCTTTTGTTATTGATTTACTATTTACAGCAGGTCAGAGTGGCTTGGAAAAAAAAAATCAATTTAAGGCAGTATTTTGGTAAGGGGATTCTTTTTGAAGGTTCCACTTCTGTCTACATTGCATCCAAAAGAAATAAACACAATTGTAAAATATATTTTATGTTCGCCATGGCTTACATAAACAACATTTCTTGGTTTCTTTATAACCATAGAGATAAAATGACCAATCAAATTTCAAGTCACATCTAGTTCTGCAACAAATATTATAGCCCTGCCCTGAGAACTGATTATTTATAGGCCTGATAAACCAAGTGTATTCATTCTGCCAAATATTATAATTATTCATTCTGGTCAGGCTGAAGCATATTAATGTATATTGACATATTCTTGATAATGAATTCAATTTTTTAAATTGAATTATTTGTAGGTATTCAGAAGACTCCAAATGAACCACAGTTGGAATTCATCCTTGGTAAGAAATTCCATCTTATTTATATCAATAAGTATAAGAATTTGTGTTGTAGTTTGAAAAGTATAGGTAAATGCTTACATCAATACATATTTTACAAATTTTTATAAACATTATTCTATTTTAAAAATTGTTCTATAAGGTAGGTGTTATTTTCTCCAAATTTATAAGAATTAACTTGCTGCCCAAGGATATAGGGTTCAGTGGTGATAGTTTTGTCTCTCGACCAGGTCTATTAGTCACACATTTCATGCCTAGCGCTCATTTTAACACAGTGACTGCATTTCGTTGCTAACTAACATTTCTGCAAATCTGTCTGATTTCCTATGCCTGGGTTGGAGACTGGCCACCTGTAGTTTCTATTGTGTTCCTTTATGGCATTTACAGGATTCTTGCCAATTTCTGTCTTATTCAAGAACATTCCCTGACTCTTTTACATTGATTTTTGTGAACTTATCAGTGACATTGAAAATTTAACTTTCAATCGAGCTTTGACTTGTTTAAGCAACTCTAAAGATCTGTCACATGTAAAAATTTGTAACTTTGTCCAAGGATGAATTAAAAGTGTACACTCTGAGACCAGTGTACTACTTAGTTAATCAATGAAAACTACTTTATATTTGAATTAAGTATGACTACAAAAATACCATAAGGAAATTAGCTGCAAAGAGAAACCTAAAGAAGATATAACTGGTTCATATGAACTATAGACAGGTCTTTTTTTTCCTCTCATTGTTCTGAAATATATTAGAAAGATAGTAGTATTTTTACATTTTATTTTAAACTAAGTTTTATTGACTAATACATGCATATATTCAATTTCACATACAGAGACCAGATATTGTATTATAGCATCAAAATATTTACTTATTTATATACATATTTTCTAAAATTTTGGGAGCAAATTGAAATATATACATACTCTATACTGGATTTCAGTGGTTGGAATTTCCAGTTATTTTGGGAATATGCATTTTTATTATGATTTGAATTTATATATTTTGCTGAAAATATTTTATTTCAAATTATAACTTATTGAGACCATAATTGGTATATAGTTTACTTTTTGAACTTTTTTGTTACAAGTGTAGCTAAAAGGTGCTATAAATTAAATATTAAAGATTTAAAATTTTTTTTCAGAAATTTTTAGAGAAACAGGCAGAAATGTGAAAAACTCAAGAAAATTGTATAGGATCACAAATGGATCTATTCTTTTTTTTCCCCTCTCTCTAGAGAGAGTTTTCAGATTGTATCAGATATAAAAAAGCACTTGTTTTTTAAAACAGAGCTGAAGAGCAAAAGAAAGCCTAGACACTCTTCAGTCTTACTACTTGAGCTTTCATCTATCCATCTTTCATTTTTAATAAAAGAAACTCACTTTTTACATTTTTGACAGGACTTCTGAAAAGTGAAATTTCATTAGAGTTATTTGATATATTTCAAAGCACAAATAAAGCTTTCTTGTTTGCCTGATGGAGAAAGAGGGCATCTGAAGGAGCAGAAGCAATTAGGATGGCGATTGTCAGGCAAATATGGTGGCCAGCCTTCAAGAAATAGCATACCTGGGCCAAATACTGCTATTCTAGTGCAATTAAGAGAATCTGTCTTGTTCAAAGACCGAACTATGCTGTTTGGTTAGAAAGCCTAGTCAATTTCAGTAACAACACTGTCATCGCGTATGTTTCCAGTTTTGAATCACAGAATTAAGAGATTAGCAGCTGTAAAAATTTATTCATAAAAATGTTCCTCCAGTATAAAAAACTCAATTTCCTTTTTTATGTTGATTTTTAAACTACACTAAGAAACTTAACAACAGATAAATTTATCTTATCAAATGGCAAGAAATGCTTGATAAATGAACACAGGTTTACTAGAAGTGTTATTTCAAGCCATCATGGAATTGTATTGGTGATCCTAGAAAACAGTCCCCAAACTGTTAGGTTTCCTAGGATTTTAAGATATTCAACTAGACCATTTCTTGAAGAAGTTTTTAAAGACGTCTCTTTCAGCGTATTACAGATAAACCCTTATATGTTCTACTGTATATTTTGTTGTCATTTTTTTGAGATTTTAATTCCACAAATCCTTCGACATCACCTATCGTATGAGTAACTTCTATTCATTTCCTAACAACTGAAAGAATAATAGCTTCTTAAATATTTCTATCATGTTTAAGGGTGTGCATATTTATTTAATCAGAAATAAAACAAGAATAAATTTTAGGAAAAAGAAATCCAGCAAGGTAGACGGCCTTTTCATCTAATTTTTAAACTAAATCTTTGATATTTGATTCTCTACTCTTAACCAAAGTATTACAATAATTTGGTCATTTCAGTGGCCTTGCCTTTTAAATTAGGAAAACAGCCACACCAATCAATTTGCTAGGTGCCATATTGCTTGTTATAAATTATTTCCACCAAGGATTTGTGTTTGCTTTGTATGCTGCTATAAAACAATTATGTCTTGCTAAGTTCCTCTACTTATTCAGTTCCTTTGCTGAAGATCCTTACTTATTAGTAAGGTAGGAGATAGTCAATTGAATAAGCTAAATGGATAAGTGTCTTGAGCACGAGATAAGCAGATACTGAAAAACTGAATATCTCTTGTCCATCGTTAACTGTATTTCTAATGGTTGACTGCATTGAAATTAAATAATTCACCTGTACAACTGCAACTCTTGTTTCCTCATATTTTGTTTCCTTGAGTATATCAATACTCTTATTTTTTTTTTTTACAAAGAAATAATTAAAAACCTAAGAGAAGACTGATTTTGTTTATGGTTTAATGATACTGTTTTCATTTCAGTAAAGCTGGCATTTAAGACAAGGGATCATCTCTTAAAAACTAAGAACATTTCCTCCAGCCTGGTCAACATGGTGAAACCCTGTCCCTACTAAAAAGTACACAAAAATTAGCTGAGCATGATGGCACACTCCTGTAAATCCAAGCTACTCTGGAGGCTGAGGAAGGAGAATCACCTGAACCCGGGAAATAGAGGTTGCAGTGAACCAAGATCATGCCACTGCACTCCAGCCTGGGCAACAGAGCAAGGCTGTCTAAAAAAAAAAAACAAAAAAACCCCACTAAGAACGTTTCTTTATATAAACCATCCATTGTGGAAAATGTATAAAGAAGATTAATCTTGATGAGGATACAAAATATATTTCTAAGAACCACTTTAGGGTTTTCCCCTGATGATTATTCACTTCCACTTATTCTGTCTAGAGTCAATAGAGTGCTTATGAGAATATGTCTTCATATTTTTATATGTACACCACACGTACTATGAATCCAAAATGATAGATACTGATACCTATTAAATACGTAGGGAAGAATGGCATGCATATGTGTTCCTTGTTGTTTTTCCTTGATACTCTGAAGTAATGTTCTTGAAATTAATATATTCTTTGATGGCTAATACTTAGGGAAGCCAAATGACCAGATACAGGGTATAATAAAAGCCATATTTTGTACATGTCATCAAGCTTTGGGGTCGATTATGATAGGAATGAGAGCTTAGAAGCAAGAGTGAAAGCCTTGGCTGGGCACAGTGGCTCACACCTGTAATTCCAGCACTTTGGGAGGCTGAGGCAGGTGAATCACAAGGTCAGGAGTTTGAGACCAGCCTGACTAACATGGTGAAACCCCGTCTCTACTAAAAATACAAGAATTAGCGAGGCACGGTGGCACATACCTGTAATCCCAGCTACTCGGGAGACTGAGGCAGGAGAATCGCTGGACCCTGGGAGGCAGAGGTTGTGGTGAGCAGGATTGTGCCACTGTACTCCAGCCTGGGCAATAGAGTGAAACTCTGTCTCAAAAAAAAAAAAAAGTGAAAGCCTTAATAAGCACAGGTCATTTATTCATCTAAATTATATTGGGAGAGGCAGAGAAAACCTATATATAAAATCATTTCAGATAATGTTGAATTCTAGGTAGACAGAAAGAGAAGGCAACTGGATAGAACATATCTGGGGGAGAGGCACTTGACTTGGGGTGGGGGGAAGAGAGACTACTTTACATACGGATTTCAAAGAAGGCCTCTGTGTGCTTATGCAGGGTATGTATATTAATTTGGATATTGTCCATATTGAGCCGAAGATTTGGATGACTTTCCAAGTAGGAGGGGACAAGCTATACTAGACATTTTCATAACACATAATAGGGTCTTTATAATGGGAATACTGGGATTAAAGTGTAGTCAATAAGGTTAGTGGTTTGACCAGGAATGAAACCAAGTTACACATTAATCTGGATTTGAGGTAACAAGAGCCACAGTGGGGGACCACATGCTGGGCTACTGGAATGCCAAAATCAGAGTAGGACACTCTCAGGATAGAGTAGATGCTGAGCCAGTGAGCTGTTACTCTCATGCTTATTGTATTCTCCCCTCACTTTCACTCTTACCTAAGCTGCAGCTACCTGAATAATGGGATCAGGCCTGGGGATTGGATGCTGCTGAACATCTAGTGAGTGAAGGACAGAGAGACATGGGATTTGAAGCCAATTGATTGTTAGATCTTTTGCCTTTTGTGAAGCTGTTTTCTTTTAAGAATCCATGTGTTATGTGTAAAATAATTTTCTTTTCAATATTTTTTCTTCTTAAATTTAAAATGTACTGAATTTATTGGCACATAAAAAAGGAGTAATCTTTGATTCAAATTACTTAACAGAGCCTTTATTTCTCAGTTTTCTCTAAAATGGGTAAATCTACATTAGCTGCTATAATTTTAAATTAATATAGCAAAATTATCACAAATAAAAATCAGTAATAGGCAATGTAGAAACACATCATAATTCTCTCTAGAATGTAGGCATCCATCATGCATTTTTAGAAATATTTAACCCTCTTTTTTTCTGTTTCACCATCTCATTTCTTGGCTTTTCTTCTATTCAAATTCAGGACGGATGAAAGAAAGTATAAGCCACTGTATTTTATCCCCAACTCAGAGTTGATCAGCATAAGTTATTGTTTAATTTTTAGAGTGAAACATACATTCATA